CTATATGCCACTAAACCATCAAAAATGTAAAGTTATGTGTTTCTCTCGGAGAGCAGTGNCCAAACTCAATTTCAACCATCATATTAATCTTACAGTCAATAAAGCCAAAAGCGTTTTTTCGTTTGTAAAACAATGGTCAAAAGAGTTCAAAGATCCTTAAGTTACAAAAGCTCTTTTTACCACTTTAGTTAGACCTATACTAGAATACGGATCTATTGTTTGGAATCCCCGCTACCAAGTTCATTCAGAGAGGATTGAATCAATTCANCAAAAGCTCTTTTTACCAGTTTAGTTAGACCTATACTAGAATACGGATCTATTGTTTGGAATCCCCGCTAAAAAGTTCATTCAGAGAGGATTGAATCAATTCAAAAACAATTCTTGCTTTTCGCGTTGCGTAACTTCAACTGGGATTCAGGTTACAATTTCCCCCTTACACAGGTCGTCTAAAGCTCATAAATTTGCTTACACTCGCAAGTCGTAGAGAAATGCTAGGTATAATATTTATCGTAAAATTAATGACAGGCTTGATTAATAGCCCGGCCCTCCTGGCTGAGGTAAATTTTAATGTTCCCTCTCGAGTTTCAAGACACTTTCGACCTCTATTTTTTGAAGCCATGCAAAACTAATTTTGAACTAAGCGAATCATTCCGTTGTTTATGTCAAGATTTTAACTCTCATTCCAGCACGTTTGATATGTCGGACTCGATTTTTACTATAAAGAAAACTATCATTTCCACTCTCAACAATTGAAATACTATCTTTAGCATATCCAATCAGCTGATGAATTTGATTCTGTAGCTGAATACTTTTAGATCTCGGCACTTAACAAACTCCTGTTTCCACTACTCGGCACCAAAAAACTAAAAAAAAGGTTCCGTACGTCATGCGGACTGCGCCCCTCGTGACGGTTGGGCGGGAATGGAGGGTCAAAAGCCGTTGTGATTAATTAATTAAATCAATTAATTAATTAAGACCGACTAAGTTCGGCAATTGACGGGGTAGGCTTCTCTGGCCTAAAACAATAGAGAATCACCGCAGCACCGGACTTGATTGTTGGTCCAGGGTTTACTCGGTATAATTCGGACTCAAGCATCTCGAAAATAATGCTAATTTAACCTAAACTGATTATACAACCAGGATTGAGTTTTGATCCGAATTTGCTGGGGAAACTCTGGCCCAACTTTAGATTTCTTACCAGTATTACTATAAACCACCCTGACTTACTGATACCCAAGATTGATCCTTTAATGGTTTAATTCATTGTTTTGTGATTACAAGTATGATAGGATCTGACCCAGTATCAACTAAATCAGTAGACATATTGTTCCGGAGGCCGATTATACAAAACTGATCCACCCAGCATTGCAAGCGAATACTGACGCGGAAAGTAGTATAAGCGTTCATTTCAATGGTTCCGTATCATAGAAATAAACTTATTAGGCAACTACGGGGTAGTAAACTTTTTTTGCCCGGCTAAAGACTTTGCGTCGTGCCCTACGTTACTATGATTTTACCACCTTGAAGAATACAGTTAACCCTTTTCCTGTGACGAGTCGTGAAGTGAAGCAGGTTTGTCATGGGTTACTGTTTGCCGCACCAAAAAACTTAAGCATTTTATTCTTCGGCCTATGGTGCACCCGGTAACGCATCAGAAATTTCGGTGGGGTGCGATAAAGCCATGCGAGATAACGCCATATGGCTCTATCTCCCATCCAATTGCGAGGTAAAGCCATATGGCATTATCACGCTTCGTATTGAGAGATAATGCCATATTTTTTTTTTGTCAATTGTGAGTTAAAGCCATATGGCCTTATCTCTCATATGAATTTATTTGTCATTGTGAATGTGCATTTAATTGTTATTCATTTCACCTGGCAACTTTCTTAATCAATGTCATATTGCATATTGTCAAATTGCATATTTTCATAATCCACGTGTTTTGTGCTTTGATTAAAATGGAAAATCAAGAAATAATTTTTGAATATAAGTTGATTCCAGGTTTTAGGAAAAACAGTTCTTTATTATTAATTGAAAAAGAAAATCAAATTTTCAAATATAAATATATGAATAAAAATGTTAAATATTATTATTGTTATGTGGATAACTGTTCAGCTGTAGTTGCCATTGAATTTAATAGCACAAGATTTTGCCGTAAAACAGAGAAAAGTGTCAAGAACGGCCACAATCATGGGGAACAAAGTGCCTTAATTGATAAATTAAAATTAATAAATTCGATAAAAACTGAAGTGATGAGTGCATCGTCATTAAAACGTTCAAGTGTGCGAGATATATTTGATGCACAATGTAAAAAATATAAGGAAACATCACATTCAGTGGAGTTCGGTAAAATGCGTAGGCATTTGATTCATATAAAACAAGAAAACTATCCAAAAAATCCGATGACTTTTGAAGAAATTATTGAAGTTGCATCAAAATTCACAATGTCCAGATATGAGGAAAATGACAAATTTTATATTGACACTATAGTAGAAGAAAATTTTGCCTACTCATTATTTGTGTCTCCTACCATTTCTAATGCTATTAAAGGAAGGAACCACATGGAACAACGTAATTATATAGTTGATGGAACATTTAACATAGTACCTATTTCAAAGAAATATAAGCAATTGCTTATAATTCACATTATTCACGCAGACCATGTGAGAACTTTAAAATTAAAATTTATTATTTATCTTAAAATAACTCGATCATTTTTCATTATTTTTCAGGCATATCCGTTCATATATATTTTAATGTCTCATAAGTCAGAATCTGCATATAAACATGTTTTGCAATATTTGCAATCAAATGTCATCGATTTGAAGCCGACGTCAGTAATCACTGATTTTGAATGCAGTTTATGTAATGCTTTTAAAAGCGTATACCCAACAGTGAAAACGGTTGGATGTTGGTTTCACTACACGAATGCTCTTTGACGGAAAGTTACGCAAATTCCTGGATTCACAGCTAAATTGAACAGAGATAAAAATGCCAAAAACCTATTTTCCAAATTTATGTATCTACCATTATTGAAACCGGCTAATATTATAGAAGCCTATAGCATTTTAAAACAAGATGCTATGGATGTAAAATTTGTTAATGCATCAAATAATACAGAAAGCTTCTTTAAACCATTTATAAATTACTTCGAGCGACAATGGATGAAAAAAGTGAGAGAAAACTAAATTACATATACATATATAATTTTATGAAATTTTATTGTTTTAGGAAAAACCTGTAAACTTTTCAGTGTATAAAGAACCTGTCAGGACAAGTAATTCTGCTGAAGGTTTCCATAGCAGATTGAATATGAAACTTCCAAAACGAGGCACGTTTTACAACTTCCTAGAAACCCTTTTCGAATTAGATTTTGTAAAATCCATGGATTATTCAAAATCTATTTCTGGTTGTACGAATCTATATAAATCAAAACCATTCGGCAATAAAGTTCGCGACAAATTTATTAAAAAACGGCTAGACTTATTAAAAAACAATAAAATATCTTTGATGGAAATTCTCAGTCAGTTTTCTAAAATGGAAAACTGCATACTTGCAGAAAAATTCGTCAATGAAATCCATAGTTCCGATGATGATTATGAAGACGACGACGACAGTAATGAAGATCAACATTGTACAGATCATATACAAACGCAACAAAATATGATATTGTTATGCGTAATTTGCTGCGAAAGGGAAAGGGAACTCTTGTTCGACCCATGTCATCATTATAAAGTTTGTCAAACATGCTTTCAAAAAATGGAAGAAAACAGCAAATTAAAGGGCGTACAAACATTGTGCCCAATTTGTCGCAGTATAATAAAAGAAGCAAAACAAATATTTTGTTAATAATACAATTAAACTCATATGTTATTATATACCTAGAACTATATTGAAATAGTGTTTAATTTTTTGTTACACGTAATTTTTGGTTTTCATGTTGTTTGATTTGTTTGTTGGAATAATGTTTTTCTTTTAATGTTATACTTGTGTTTACTTTATTATCTTTAAATAAATATTAAGAAACTGAAAGTTTGTTTTTTTACAAAATGGTCAGTGGCAAATTCTGTAAAATCGTTAGCTTTTCAAATGTATTTCACATTTCTGTAAAAGGGAAATATCATTACTTTTCATTGCAAGAAGAAAAACTAATGATTTTTCGGTGCCATGACAAAATCCCAAGGGGCAAAATCCCAAGTAAAAAAATTGGGATTATGACACTCCCCTGCAGTGTCATAATCCCAATTTTTTTACTTGGGAATATGACACTGCAGAGGGAGTGTCATACTCCCAATTGGGATTTTGACACCTTTGAGCTGGTTTCCCTTTTACGAAATGTGCAAAAAAAAATTTGTTACTTTTTTTAACTTGGGATTTTGTCTAATTTTTATTTGGGATTATGACACCCAGCCTGCGTGTCATAGTCCCAAGTAAAAAAATTGGGATTATGACACTGCAAGGGGAGTGTCATAATCCCAATTTTTTTACTTGGGATTTTGCCAGTTGGGACTATGACATGTCACCGATTTTTCCCTTTTACAGAATGCTTACACCTTCTTGAATGCATATAGAGCAGAAAATATTCCGTAAAAGGGAAAATCACATGAGAGATAAAGCCATACGAGATAACGCCATATGGCCTTATCGCTCTTTGAAATTGGAAATAAAGCCATACAGAAATTTTGGCGCGAATATGGCTTTATCTCTCTTTGAATTGAGTGATAAGGCCATATGGCGTTATCTCGCATGGCTTTATCGCACCCCACCGGATTTTGCCAGTTGGGACTATGACATGTCACCGATTTTTCCCTTTTACAGAATGCTTACACCTTCTTGAATGCATATAGAGCAGAAAATATTCCGTAAAAGGGAAAATCACATGAGAGATAAAGCCATACGAGATAACGCCATATGGCCTTATCGCTCTTTGAAATTGGAAATAAAGCCATACAGAAATTTTGGCGCGAATATGGCTTTATCTCTCTTTGAATTGAGTGATAAGGCCATATGGCGTTATCTCGCATGGCTTTATCGCACCCCACCGAAATTTCACCATCTAATATTTTTCTAGAGCGTAAGGCAACGCTAAAACTGAATGGAAGGTCTGCCATTTTGACGATAGCTGTGTTTCCTTGCGGACGGCAAGTTTGGTTGGTTACTGCTTTTTGGCAATAAACGCTTTCCCGCGGCGGCTGGTGATAGTTTGTGACAATTGCCTGTAACTGCCCGTCTCCTCAGGATGGAACGCATATCCTGACACGTAGGTTAGAATGTAGAGAGTAATACATATCAGGGCTTATATCTTGGCATCTATGGCGATAACTTACTAGTTTGACAGCTACGTTTTTCTTTGCACGAAAACCTTCTGGCGGAAACATTATCGATATTTCGACATAGAAGCATAAGTTGAGCCGTTTTCATGGTAAGTGATTATTGGTGTTGTCTTCCCGGAGAGCGCATTTCCGATCTGCTTTACTGTAAGGGCCATATATGTTCACGTATTTTTTTAACAAACCTTCTTTCAGAGAACTAATTTAATTGGCAAAAGCTAAAAAATATACTGTTTTCTAGTAAAAAAATTCACAATTTTTATTGCTAACTTTATTTCAAACGTTCTTCCTCTTGTTTTCAATATTTATAAAAATCAGATGAAGCAAACACAAAAAGCGAGGGCAACTAAAAAGGAAAGAATCAATATTGAAATACGTCGAAATGAAAATAAGGCAGCACGAATGTTGAAACAAAACTCTCTGGGAGGACAATACCTGTGAGAAATTATATCATGAGCTTGTTAGTTTGTTCTTGGAGGTAAACTAGCCAATTTTCAAAAATTTCTTTTTGTGGTTAAGTCCGGTAAAATTATTTCCAAACGCTGATTTCAAGATGTAAAAGCTCAGACAAATATTGGCCTGATATAACTTAAATCTAGCAACCAAGCTGACAGCTGAACAGCAAACAAATTCTATCCTGTGAAGGCGGCCAGTGATGAAACAAAGCTATTGAATGGTTGTTCACCAATCGACAATTGACATTCCTCTTTGCATTACAGCAAATTCCAATAGGAAGAATAACGGAACCAGTCCAAATGACGTAGTGCCCGTTATTCTTCCAAAGGGGATATCTAATTTCCCGCAGTGCAAAGGTATAAAAACCTGCTGGCAACCCCACAGTCGCCATATTTTTATCTTGCGTGAAATTCAACAGTGAAAGTGAAAAAGCAAAAAGTTCTGTAGCCTTTTGGTCAAGTGTCGGACTTAGAAATTAAATGTGTTAAGTGATATTTTGCGGCAATTAAAGAAAAGTTTCGACATAGAACACCGTGTAAACGCGCGTGAGCTAATTTAAGTTGTGGTGAAAATACATCTTTTGAACACACGTTTAGTATTAAAATAAATACTGTGTTAAAATGAAAAAAAAAACTAAAAACTAACCAATATTGACCCAAAAGGCAAATCTTCCAAGTACTCGGATTTGTACACATATTTGATATACTCTACCACATCAGCGACTGCTATCCCAGATACTACACCGACCATCAACGACAGTAGAGTACCGCCTCCAGCAGCAGCGATCGGAACTTTACGGGGAGCGGCTGGCCTAATCGAGGATAAAAGATAAGTGGCTGAAACTCCAAAAACCAAGTCGCACGTTTAATAATACAGCGAGATACTCACAACTTTCAACTTTGGGGGAAAACGTTATTAAAGTTTAGCAAATTCGTACCGTGGGTATGCAAAAGGCAGACAAAAAGACACATATCTTCGCCTTTCTGAGAAGTTTAGTTATCTGTTAGACATAACATATTCTCCTTATCAAGCTTATTAAAGGCTCTGGCACATACAGCATTCGTGCTGATTTGGCGTTGGTTTTGCTTTGACAGCTAAGATAAATACATACGTTTATATGAAGCAGTTCTCATAGGCAACGCTGACACCACAGAAACACGAACGCTGGTTAACTCTGGCCGTTTTTCGCGCGTTGACACTGCCTTAATGTAATTATTCACTTTTTACTAATAAACACACAAAATCGTGTAAAGAAAAAACGAATAAGGACCGCGACGACCAAATGCTTCCATTTTCAAAATGTTTGAATGTTTTTCAATCGTAAAATTCAGATTCAAAAACTAAAACCATTTGCTGTCAGAGCATTCATTGTAGCAAACACTTGCGCTACTTGCGTTGCTGTCAAACTGAAACAACGCCAAAACGACGCGAAAGCTACATGTGCCAGAGCCTTAATTGTGTGATGAAATCTTCTAAAACGTAAGTTTGAGTTATGCCTCTATATTATTAAACGTGGGAAGTGCAACCGAAACTCACATAGAAGTTCATAAAATTGCATTGGTTTTGGAGTGTTTAAAAAAGCGCCACACTGAAGGAATTATTTTTGAATATATATATATATTGCTCTTTGTTGCTCACAGGAAACCGATAGCTGGTACGACAGCTGCGCACGCACAACGGCGCAACACGGCTGGCCCACAACAGCATCATACGAGCGCGCACCTACGACGCGCAACACCGCGAAATTACGCGCAACACGGCTGGCCCCAGAGCAGCACCATACGACCGCGCACCTACGGCACGCAACACGGGCGCCATTCTAGCCGCGCACCTAAAGCAGCGCGCCAGCATCGAACGCGCAATCACGAACAACACGAGTGCCACAACAGAAACGGACCTACGACCGCCCCGACTGCACCGCAGCAGCCACGCATCATCGAACGCGCAACATCCGCGCGCCTACAACGTGCCACAACAACTTCCACACCAGCAGCGACAACAAGCAACAAAAACAACGGCTGCCACAGCAGCAGCCGCAGTACAACAAAGGCAGCCACATAAGCAGCAGCCGTATCACCACCATTAACAACAACAGCAGCAGCAACAACAGCAGTGCCCAACTAAAGCCTGATGCAACAGTGGGTGAGTCCTTCGGGCCCTAATACATTTGACATAAAGTAGTATACATAGCAATATATAAATATATGCATATATACATAGGTATACAGGGTGTCCCTGAAGTAACCTGCCAAACTTTAGGGGAAGGTAGGTGGGGAGGTGAGCTCTCTGATAAACCAAAAATTTTCAGGTAAAAGTGTCACCGCTTTTGAAATATTTACATTAATTTTAATTTAAAAAAATCGTGCCTTTTCATGTATTTTCTGTAACTGCATCTACAAACCAGACTATACTTAGTAAATTTTTTATGTAAAATACTTCCAGATAGTTGCTTCTCCATACTCAAATGCAATGTAGTTAAAATATATTAGGGAACCATCATAAAATAAGGACTATTTTGGGATTTTTATCTTTTTGATATTTTCTTCCCCAACTTTGACTATCTCTGGTGAAAAAAAACGTGCTGAGCTATAACTTTACATTACATAAAAAAATTGCTCATTTAATAAAGATTTCAGAAATGTGCCACTCTTACTGTTTTGAATAGAAAAAAAAGTTATAGCCGCTTTTGTGGGCAAAGGACTGAGACACGCTAGAATGTATTTAATAGATTTAAATTTAAGTTGCTCTTGTTACCGACCAATGACGCGCTAAATAGTACAAAGGTACATTATTACCTGCTCCTGACATTATTTTATGTTACTTACCGGAATTACATATGTTTTGAATCGCGGCGAAATGAATTAAAGCGACTTATGCATGCGTATAAACGTAGTAATAAAGCCGTAAGTATAAACACTAGAGCGAAATGTGTACGGTGTCAATGCGCTTTCAATTAAGTCGATTATTCTGTGCGTATAAACGTAGTATATATCGGCATCAAAGTAACCATCTTTAAAAGCAAACAAAATTAGCTGTTTTCATTTGACATTTTATAAGTTAACATAATGGAAAGTGATAAAAATCTAGTTTTATTCCGCATTATAAAATCGTGGCAAAGAAAAAGAACGATTATTATTAATCAGCTTTTAAATACTGATGCGATTATTT